TTAGCTTCTAAGAAATGTCACATCATCATTTACATATCCAACTTTTATATATATAAAAGAGTTAAAAAATAAAAAATAAGTGATTTAAGAAAATTATATAAATAACATTAATGATGAGATGAAGATTAAGAAAAAACGTCAAATAAATTAGTAGTATTGATGATGATAAAAGTTAAATAAATCATTTTTTCTATTATTTAAATTTTTAACATAAAATTTCCAATCTTTTAAAATTAAAAATAAATGTTAAAAATAAAAATAAAAATGGAGGCAATAATTATTTTATTAAAGAAAAATATGTGTAGAAAAAGTAGAAGTAGATGAAGTTATTTTAGTTCATCTTTTTGGTGGGCCTCAATGTACAATTTCTATAGCTTTTAGTCTAATTCTTTAGTGTAATGTTGGTCCTCCAAACTCCCATTTCTAAATAAGAGTAGAGTAATATATATATGAGTTCCCATCTGCTTTTTTGTTATCCTTCGGAAAGATATCGTATGGGTTAATTTTTTGTTGAAATATTTAAACAAGCCGTATCAATTTTCTTTTTGTTTTATCGCCTTTGACTCACAAAGATATAGCTATTACATTTTTTAAAACTATTTTACGTTTAAAAACACAATAAATATTACTGCAGACCTATCCAAAAAAATCTACAAAAAGAAATCTGAGTTATATTTATTATTGTGGTAAATTTAAAATAATTCTTAGGCATTTGCTTAGCAAATTTATAAAACTTGTAAAAGGTAATTTAAATAGTTGTGGCCTGTGAACAGGTTTAGTGGACAATTAGCTGTCCTCAAGCAGGGTCGTCTTAACCCCTAGGCCACTAAAGTTATCGCTTGGGGTCCATATATTTTGGGGCTCCTAATTTTAAAAAAACAATTATTTATATGTGTTATTTTAAAAAAAAAATTATATGTACTATGAGTGTTATGATTTCTACTAAAGAAATTGCATATGAGATAAAAATAAATCTGGATTTCGTAAGAAACAATTTTATGAAAATTTGGATAGGGAAATCACAAAGTCTCTTGAATAATCTTTTAGAGTTGATTGCTTTATATATGTAGAGTAGATCAAACTATTTTTTCACTTCAAAATAGATTTGAACCAATTGAAGCATATGAAAATATTTTTGATTCCTTATTTAGTGGTAAAATATTGAGATCACTAGATGACGAGAATTTAAAAATATTGTCTTAACCTTGAACTTTCTTTAACATGTAATAGTTATTCTGATATTGATGGTTTAGATTTATTTTTTGGAAAATGGCCTGAAAAATACTCGAACTTTTGTCGAAATTGTTGTTACGATACGAAACTTTATGGAGGACCTTTTACCCCATGCACTATTTAATAATGTATTTTAAAGGTATATATATGCTCACGTGGACACGTTACTATTTATAATGATGCAATATTTATGATATCCACGTGGGCACATATATACCTTTAAAATACACTATTAAATAGTGGGGGGAGGGGGGTAAAAGGTCCTTTCCAAAGTTCGGTATTGTTACAACAATTTCGATCAAAGTTCAGATATATTCTAGACCTTATTCCCTTTATTTTTTGAATTAAAAGTGTTAAGGAAAATAATACAAGTAGAAGATAATGATCTAATGAAAATACTCAATCAAATAAAAACACTTTCTTTTCCAAATACACATATTGCTTATAGAATAATGTCAACAGTTCATGTAACCGGTGTCTCAGTCGAAAGAAGTTTTTTCGAAATTAAAATTGATTAAATCTTCTTTAAGATCAATTACGTCTTAAGAGAGATCGAATGAATTAGCTATATTATCACTTGAAAAGGAATTATTAAAAAAAATTGATTATAAAACAGTACCTAATGACTTCACATCTAAAATAGCTAGAAAAGTAGATTTTAAATAAAAGTATATATGATGAAAAAAATAAAATATTAGGGCCCCTCTCTTAAGTTTTGCTTTAGGTCCCCCAATGTTGTTGAATCGGCCCTGCCCTCAAGAAGATTAAAGCTATTTTGTAATGAGAAAATTTCAGAAATAGCAAATACAATAGATAAAATAAGGCACTATAACTATAGTTTCGATAGTTGCGCTTCATAGTTATAGTTTTGTTTACTATGGAGGTTGTGGTTTGTATATTTCGCTTACGAATATACAAATTTCAGAAATAGCAAATACAATAGATAAAATAAGGCACTATAACTATAGTTTTGATAGTTGCGCTTCATAGTTATAGTTTTGTTTACTATGGAGGTTATAGTTTTGTTTACTATGGAGGTTGTGGTTTGTATATTTCGCTTACGAATATACAAATAGGGTAAGTATATACAAATTTTGTATTTATACATTTAGAAATTTTTCAGAATTTCGTTTGTATATTTCGCTTGCTAATAAACAAATCGGGTAATTTATTGTGAATTTTTCATAAATCGTATACAAATAGCTAGAGTAAGCATATACAAATTCTGAATTTATACAATTAGGAATCAAATTATATAAAATTTTGAGTTATACAATCAGGCGAATGTAAATTGGACTTATCTATTTATATTTTTTTCGCTGAAATATAGATTTAAATTTAGATTTAGATTTCTTCTTTTTATTTTTATTTATATATTTTAATTATAGACTTAAATTGTTAGGAGCCCGTGCTAGCACGGTCCCAATATATGTTATTTTTTTGTCTCAATTTATATATATAATTTGAGAAGTTATTCAAATTTTATATGATTTTTAAATATATTTTTTTTGTTTTTAATTATTGTGATTTATAATACTTTTTACATTATTTTCAATATTTTAAGTTATTTACTTTGTCCCAATTTATGTGGCACAAATAAAATTTCAAAATACTGACTAATTTTTTTAAAGTCTTTTAAATATTTTAAGTTGTTAGTGTTGTAATTTATAATACTTTTTGCATAATTTTCAAATAATATATATTGGAGTACTTTTATCCCAATTTTGTGGCATTGAGAGAATTTTGAGAGTTAACTGAATTTTTTATATGTCGTTACATTTTCTAAGTTGTTAATCGTTGTGATTTAATGCATTTTTTACGTTATTTTCAAATAATATATATTATTTCCTTTGTTCCATTTTATATGGCATTATAGAATTTCGAGAGTCAATCGAATTTTTATATTTTATTATATTAACATTATTTTCAAATATATAACAAACTAAAAAAAAAAGCATGACAAATAAATTAATACAAATAAAAACAACAAAATAGTTACAACAATAAAACATAAGGACCAATCAAAATAATCAGTGTATATTATTTGTATGAAAATCAGAAAATGTCCCCTGAGTCCATACTACAATTACATTCTTTAAAAGAAAAGGTGTAGCAGAAAAGTTAATTTACCAATGTAGGTCCAAAATAGTTGAATTTTACAAAATATTTGATGAAAAGTTCGAAGAATAAAAAGAAAAAGGAAAAAAAAGTCTGAAATATATCCGAACTTTGATCGAAATTGTTGTAACAATATCAAACTTTGGAAAGGACCTTTTACTCCCCTGAACTATTTAATAGTATATTTTAAAGGTATATATGTGTCCACGTGGACATCATAAAAATTGCATCATTATAAATAGTAATGTGTCCACGTGGGCACATATATACCTTTAAAATATACTATTAAATAGTGCAGGAGGGTAAAAGGTCCTCCATAAAATTTGGTATCGTAACAGTAATTTCGGCCAAAATAAGTAACACATTTTTGTACATTCAAGTAAAATGCACATAAACTACACAATTTTCTAAGCAAAAGGTACAAAATATTAGAGCAACATAGCATACTAAATTACCATTTTAGGCCTATAGCAGCCAAGCAGGCATATTAACCTCCTGCCTGGTTAAGCTGCTTAACTCCCTCTTATTATATAAATAAACTAGAAGTTGATGGCCCGTGCCAACATAGCAAGTGTGACACATACATATATGAAGATTGTATATTAAGTACATAGCAAGTGTGACACATTGATGTTATATATTAGTTGTTGAAACCTAATTTTATAGGTATGTACATTTTATACACATAAGCAAAAGGAAAGAGATGTGTTATATTGGAGATTAGCCGAAGTGTTGTTTTTCTTGTTGTGAGTGAGATTGTAAGACAACATTTGAGTGATTGACATTGCCTGGACAAAAAATGGCTCCAATCATATTGCAAAATGTAGGCGGCATGGCTACATGGCTTTTCACCGATAAAAAAATTCAAGTACAGTGTTGAAATTTTGAATGTAGGAAGTAATGAGAGATATAGATGCACAAAATAGAAGCATGTAGATTGCTGATTTTGTTTCTAATGAGAATTAAGTTATGCTGATAAGAGATCATCTAGGCGGACATGTAATATGAGATTAGATGAGGGTAAATACAAGGAGAAATACACATAGAAAATGTTTAGAATAATAATAACAATACTAATCCATATTCTTTATTACAGTATAAAATAAGGTTGAAATTTTAAACCTGGAATTTGGTTATTCGGGGGATTCAGATGCTTGATTGATCATGAAGTATTTTTGGGTTGGGTTAATCCTGATTTGTTTTTTTGATTTTTGTACCCTTAGTTGGCTTATCAGTTTGAGAAGTTGAAATGACACAACTATCCTTATTTTCCAATTAAATGACGAATAAGCACACATGTTGAAATTTATTGAAACTCTCTAAGATTTTGGAGTAAACAACAGAATCAGGGATTCTGAGAAGAGTAATTTATTTAACGCAAAACATCACCAAATAGTATGAGTGATTTGAAAGTGCATAACACAAATATGCTTGATTAATATCAAAGTCTAAACCACGTAGAATCACATCTAATACAAAAGATGGAAAATGATCCTTCTAAGGTTACCCTTTTCTCAAAAAAAAAGATGGAAAATGATCCTTCTGGTGCTGCTAATATACCTCTGTTCTGGAGCTTCTTCACCTTCAAACCTCATTTTAAACCTCATCCCGATGGAGCAATTGTTTTTCAGAGAGTCCATATACTGATCATATGGGACTATAAACTCAGCAGAGCTTGTCCTATAATACATAAGTAAATACTAAAGCGGCGAGGAAGGGAAATCCCAGAGCAATAAGTAGGCAACAAAGTCAAATCCATTCATCATATAGATCTCAATTTATGGAACAAGCTTAAACTATTTTTCCCTGGCTCTTTGAATCACTTACCTTGGTTTGTAATATACTGTGAACTCTGAATGGCATGCCAAGCTGTAGCAAGGACACCAAGATGCATGCTATGACTGGATATCACTGATGATGGAGCATTACCCTGCTGTCTCATGGCAGGGCGGACTACAACGCAAACCTCATTGATCGTCAGGAAAACTCAAGAGTATGCACATGTCCCTCTGTTATGATTCCACTTAAATACTTTCCCCAACTTCGGGTCGAGGTCAGAGTTGAAACTCGTGATATGAACGTCCCTCACTACAATTATACTATTGATTTCTCAACTCGTAAAATTCATTTTACTCAAACATTTGCAATAATTTGAATTCTAGAGGTTAGTATACTAATCCTAGTATTTATAAATCTTACTATCGTTTAGGAACTACGTGTAACTTCTATTATCAAAGTCAATTTCTTCATAGCAATAAACAACACCAAAAACTTTAGCAGATTCACTCAACAATAAAAAGTAAAACGGAGGTATGGAAGAATTTACAAAAGTTTATAAGAAGCAAATAAGCAAACCTGTTAATTCGTGCCAAAACATTTTCGGATCACATAATAACAACTGATATTTCCCTAACCCTGTTCAAGCAAAACAAGTTTTGGAAAATTATAATTAACAAAAGAAACCCATCATGAATGAGTAAAATCTTACTTGTTTCTACAAATTGCGTGTGCGGCTTCGAATCCTGAAATTGATAAGCTTCTCCTGATCTCTTAACCTCTTTGCCTTCATGCTAGACATAGGCAAAAAAAAATTTTTTATCAAAAAGCAGCTAAATCACAACCAGATAAATAAAAAAAACACAGGATAAAAAGTCGAATTGAAGGAAAAATAATTTGAACTATTTTCAGGTATGAGAAAAACCTCGAATTCATCACAGTAGGGGATGAGAATGGAGAAGACGAAGAGGTACATATTATGCTTTGGATAAAATCAAAGCGTGAAGCGGTGAGCTACGCGTGTGTTTAGTCATGGAATGAAAGACACGTATAACCAAATGGCTGAAAAGTCAAATATACCCTTAATTTCTAATTTATTGACTTAAGATATTTGAGTGGGTGGCATCCATTGTAATTTAACAGAAAATGATGGATCTTTTATGGACCTGTTGATGCGGTCTAAAGAATAAAGCAGAAAACAAAATTTCCTTTAAGCAAATTGATCTAGGAAAATATTATTATACCCTTAAACTTTCATTTAATGTCACCAAGCTGACATGTTGAAACTGTCTCAAACTCTCTCTTCTATATATAGAAAAAAAAAACTAGTAAAAGGTGCCCGTGCTAGCACAGGTCTAATATCTTAATATTTTTTATTTTAATTTATGTGATGTAGGTAGAATTTGGAAAGTTGATAAAATTTTGATATGATTTTTAGATACTTATTTAAGTTGTTAATTACTTTTTGTTTGCGCAAATTTATTGTGAAGAGTTTCATTAAGATGTTCATAATTAATGTATTTTTCGTCATCGATCGTTGATTTTTCACTCAAAGTAGTTACAAGATATAAACAAATATTACAGACGTTCAAAATAACTAAAATCATAGCTAAAATGGATTCCATAAAGCAATAACTAAAGAATATAAATTTAAAACTAAAAGTCATAGCTAAAATGGATTCCATAATTTTCAAAAAATTATACACTAATTAAATTAAAGTAGAACAAAAGAAGTAGTTTTTCTTGCAATATTTTTTTCGAAACACGCTGAAGCATGCACGTCTTTTTGAATTTAAAATTAAAATTCATAGCTTAAACGAATTCCATAATTTCGAAAAAATTATACACTAATTAAATTAAAGTAAAACAAAAGAAATAAATTTTTAATTTTTAAAAAAAATACGTTGAAGCAGACACGTCGACAGAGAAGAAACTAAAATTCATAGCTAAAATGGATTCCATAATTTTGAAAAAATTATAACACTAATTAAATTAAAGTAGAATAAAAGAAATAAATTTTTAAGTTTTTTTTAAAATACGCTAAAGCAGGCACGTCGACGGATGCAAAAAAATTATTCATTAATTAATTAAAGTAGAACAAAAGAAATAATTTTTTTTAAAAAAAACACGCTGAAGCAGGCACGTCGACGAAGATGCGCCTGTTTTAGCACAAACTGTCTCTTATATAATAAGAGAATGTAAGAATATATTTTTAGCTGAAATATAAATTTTGATTTTTTTTATTTATATATTTTAATTATAGATTTAAATTGTAAATTGGATTTATCTATTATATTTCAGGATCGGAAGTTTGGATCAGGCCCTGAGTCAGATCTCAAGGTTGGATATTGGAACGGTTGTCGGGATCGTGTTCTAGTTCGAGGTGAGAGTCGGGTTCTAGATCGATTATCAGGATTGATTTTTGGGTCAAAAATTATTTTTCTAAAGAGTATTTTCTAGTCTCAAGTAAAAATAAAGATATTTTTTAGAAAATGTTTTTCATTCACCAACCAAACATTAAAAAATATTTTCCAAAAAATATTTTTACTCATCAACTAAATATGAAAAAATAAGTTAGAAAATCCACTTATTTTTCAAGAAAACATTTTTCATGGAAAATATTTTCCTTCGTACCAAACACACCCTTAGTTATGTTAGAGCTCCTAAAAGGAATAATCTGGACTTAATAAAAAAAAAAAGCTTTTAATTGGATTCATGTTGCAGCTCAACTATTTATACATCCAATAATGTATAAATAGTTTTATTAATCTGGACATGATCATGTCCTTTTATATTTTTTGATATCCGTTTTATAAGATCATACTATAGGTAGTTTTAAAACTTCTCATTACACTAGAAAATTTGTCCATGCGAATATCAATAATTTTAAATAAACTTTTTATAAATTAAGTAGAAATAAAAAGACATATTCTATTTTGATTAGAGCCGAGATTTGTGTTTCCTCTTAAATAAATAATTTAAAAAAAGATAATATCTTCACATTAAGTTGACATCAGACAATTTTTTTAAAAAAGATTGACATAATAATGTTATAACATTTTTAAAAATCGAATTAGCAAATTCAGGTTTTAATACAATATCATGTCCACTCCCAATTAACTATAATTCAAACACGATATCATTCATTCTTGCAAGTAATTAACTATTATTTAAAAATCAATCAAAGAACCAAATAGACAATATATAAGTATTCACGAATTTTAGTCAATTTCATGTAGATAAGGAAATTGTGACTATATTTTTTATGATAACTTAAAAAAACTAAATTTCTTAACCTAAAGTACACTAAGAAGAGAAAATAGAACTTATTTTCCATTTCAAAAAATGAATTCATCTAATTTTTTATTTTCTTTAAATTGGGCATCATTCAAAATTTTATTTTATAGAAATACAAAAAAAATACTCAAAAACCTATCTACCAATAACTAATATTTTAAAATAAACTTTTTTAAGTAAAAAAAAAACAAAGAAAGGAAAAAAGTGATTTAAGGAAATTATATAAATAAAAGTAATGATGAGATTATGGGGAAAAAAAAATAGCATTAATGATGAAATAATTTAAAATTTGAAAAAAATGCAAAATAGATAAAACTTTCAAGACATATTTTTGAGAAATTATTTCTTTAAAAAATTATAAGAGAAAACGTCAAAACTTTTTTGATAAAATTAAATTAATATATGTATCAAGAAGAGTGTCATCATTTACTATTTTTAACATTATTATTTGGTATGGATATAGTCGTATAGATCTTTAGCAGAAGAGAGAGACACACATACGCACGCACGCACAAAAAAAAGTAAAAAATTAAATAAAGAAAAAAAATGATTTAAGGAAATGATATAAATAACATTAATTATCAGATTAAGGTAAGGAAGTAAGAAAACTAATAGAATTGTTGATGAACAAAATAAAATATGATTATCATTGATATTTTGTAAAATTTTAAAGTGAATCTTTTAGCCTTTTAAAATTAAAAAAAATATATCAAAATAATTAAATAGGTAATATATATATATATATATTCATGTACATTATCATACAAACATTTTATACATATCAAAAGTATTTTGAGTTTAGTTGTTTGCCCGTTGTGGCAAGTAGGATTTCAATTTTAGGTGGTATCTTTATTATCCTTCTAATCACAACTTTTTATGATTCTACTTTCCGCTTTATATTTCAATACATATTTATTTGTACTGATGTTTTGTTGCCTGAAAACTACATTTCATGCTACAGATTTAGACAGAGGCCTAATTGTTCTTTACAGTTAGGGTGATGTCTCAACTGAGGATTGACAAGGTCCATTCTTTCTGGAGCTATTGGTTGCCTGTAGATTTTGCATACTAGAGTTTTTGTGTACAAGTTTTGGATATTATCGAGATCTTGTCCTAACTAGTTGTATAGTACTCCTATAAGCTTTGTGAACATACTATGTTGGGTATTTGTAGATTTTAGTTTCCAGCCTTGTCGGTATAATATGTATATATGTCTCCAGTTGTAGAACATGTTGAATTTTCGATTTTGTCAGTTGAGTTGGCCTTGTCGGCCCTTTCATTATGCTATTCTTATTGTGGCAGTCACCTTGGCGTATTATGTATTACCATCTTGAAATCTATCATATTCATTTCAAGTAATCTGTCGAATTTTTCCTTATAATCTATTAAAACGTAATGTCCCTTTCTTTTCTTAGTTCCAACTCCACATAACATATTTAAGATCACAAGATTAAAAGAC